TTATTTTATTTATTTTATTTTATTTTATTTTATTTTATTTATTATTTTATTGTAGAGACAGAGAGAGCATGAAGGGGGAGAGGGGCAGACAGAGAGAGAATCCCAAGTAGGCTCTGTGTTGTCAGCCCAGAGCCTGACATAGGGCTTGAACTCATGGACTGCAAGATCATAACCTGAGCTGACATCATGAGTCAGACTCTTAAATGACTAAACACCCAGGAACCCCTGTTTGAGGGACTTTCTGAACATTAGGATGTCATTATCATGATGGGTATTCTTACCCTGACAACATATCTGTGTATAAATTAAGCTCGAATACGTTCACCTGTGTCTTGCATCCTATTTTACCATTATCTTTCACAGGTGACATTTGAAAATTGCTACACATTTTAATCGTAGCTATGGTTAGAATAAAATGTAAGAACATGGTTGTCTGGTTGGTTTGCTAAATTACAAATTGGATCAATACAAGTCTCTTCTCTGTCGGGCTTTTCACTGGTACATCAAACAACAAATGTCACATATTCAATGATGGATCAACATGTGTTGAATGAATGAGTAATTGTCTCGAAGAGTCCAGCCTCTGGGCTTTTGGCAACATGACACTTTGATTGATAGTATAGCCATCACAAGACTTTTGGGCTTCAGATGTTCAATGTTAAATATCATCTGCTTCACTATTGGCAAATAGACCTCATTTCAAATGACAGCCAGAAAAATGCTGAAAGATCCGTGCTAGGAAAGACTGTAAGTTCACACCAGATCCATTAGGGAAGAGGGTTGTGGTGGACTCATGTCTGTCATGGGCACAGACAGAGAAGCACCAGCATGCATGCTTTGTAGTTGTCAGACACGATCAAGTCCAACCTCAGGGTCAGCATGTTTTTCAGCACAATATGATCGGCGATTCCCTTCACGTCCATTACAGTGTCTCTTCTATACTATGTAAGTTTTGTAGTCAGTTTGTTTTCTTCTGTATTTTTTTTTTTTTTTTTTTTTTTTTTTTTTTTTTTTTTAGTATATACGTGTATCTTTGAGAGAGAGTGTAAGCAGGGGAAAGGCAGAGAGAGGAAGAGAGAATCCCGAGCAGGCTCTGTACTGTCAGCACAGTCAAGTGTGTGGCTCAGTCTCACGGACCGTGAGATCATGACCTGAGCTGAAATCAAACGTCCCATGCTTAACCAACCGAGCCACCCAGGTGCCCCTGTTTTCATCCACATTTTTAGAAAGAGTCTATCTTTGTTCTGAATGCTAGATTTGAAAGTGGCACAACTAAATAGGAAGGAGCATTTGTAAACATTCCAGCCATTCTCAGAAATGGTCTCAGGATACATTCTGCTGTTAGCGTCCAACGAAAGGTCATATTATTTCTATGTCTACCTGCTGTGCATCATGTGGGAGTGCTAAGGAGAAAAAAACACAATCTTTGTGATAAATAAACGCGAGTACAAAAGTCAAGAAAATCCTATTAAGGGTTAAAACCATCACATGATACACACCCAGAAGCCACTGAGCTTTCTGGGCTAAGAAATGTGCGAGGGGGGTACACCGGGCGTAGAACTGTCGCCCAGCCTTTCATTATTGCCATTGTTAGGAGGCATCTTAATGCCTGCACGGGCATTGGGATCATCTAGAGAGAAACAGAGTGCAGCCTGTCCAAGGCCACTTAAAACAGCCGCCGTTGGATAGGGTAACAATGTGGAGACCATTTTACAAGACAGTTTAAGTACTCACTCATACTCCTCAGGCATCACTTATTTTCCAAAATGAATTCTACAGATGTGAAATATGACCCGATTTGACCGGATTTCTAAAAAATCGGTTATTACATAAAGGGAGTGACTTCTGAGTTGCTGGTATCAGATAGATCCTTTAAAAAAAAATCCTTTTAAAAAAAAATGTTTTTTTATTATAAACATGTGAAATCCCAAAGAAGCAAGTCTTGGAATTTTCAGTGCTTTAATTCATCTTTTAATTTGTTTTGAAGTACTTTATGAAGAATACTATGAAAAGACAATTTTCACATTTGTAACTCATCGATAAAATAACGGTACAAATCATAATGTAAGATATATGTTCAACATCTTCATAGCAATAGGTCCTATTTTCTTAAAAAGAAACGTCCTCTACGACACTGACAACCTCTGGTCTCTTGTATTGATCATTTTGGTAAGAGCTCACTGTGTTTATGTGTTACTGTCGCTCACAGCCGTGTCCTGTGGGAATCCTGGCACGCCCACCAACGGCATGATTGTCAGCAGTGACGGCGTCCTGTTCTCCAGCTCGGTCATCTACGCCTGTTGGGAAGGCTACAAGACCTCGGGGTTAATGATTCGGCACTGCACAGCCAACGGGACCTGGACCGGCACAGCCCCCGACTGTACAAGTTAGTAACAGCTGTCATGTGGGCCGAAGGACGTCACCGGCTTGACCGAGAAAAATTTGTTTATTTGTTAAATACTTTATTGATTTTTTTAACACATGGCAAAAACAAGGTCTACATATATATGATGGCTCTATTTATTAGACAGTTTTAGATCTTTCTTCACCTTCTTATTTATATGGTTGAAAATATTTTCTTCTTTTTAACGTCTACTTATTTTTGAGGGGGGGAGAGGGAGATTACATGCGTGTAAGCAGGGGAGGGCAGAGAGGGGGACAGAGAATCTAAAGCAGGCTCTGTGCTGTCAGCAGTGAGACTGAAGTGGGGCTTGAACTCACAAACCATGAGATCATGACCTGAGCCAAAGTCAGACATTTAACCAAATGAGCCACACAGGCGCCCCCAAAGCCATTTCCATTGGCCAGTGGGTTGGACGTTGGAAAATTGGGGCCACAAAAGTCAAGGTTTGTCCTCTCTGTAGAACATCTCGTTTGCAGAGAAATAAGAAAAGTGTTTATTCTCTGATCGCAGCCTTTGTCTCTGTCCTTAACTTTGTGATGAGAGTACCCACGGTACGTAATTAAGGACTGGACAAAGATGGCAGCCGGCATCCCCACAGCCAACCAGGATCGAATAGAAACAAGCGATTCCAAACACAGTGTCCCGACGACCAGTCAGCAAACAGAGGACAATACTGCTGTAACAATTTACTACTGAATCAATTTGGTTTGTTTTCATTAAGTTTAATTTTTTATTTATTTTGAGAAAAAGAGAGTGAGCATGGGAGAGGCAGAGAGGAGAGAGAGAGAGAGGGAGAGACAGAATATCCCAAGCAGGTTCTGCGCTGTCGGCACAGAGCCCGAAGTGGGGCTCAAACCCATGAACCATGAGATCATGACCTGAGCCGAGACCAAGAGTCAGACACTTAACTGACTGAGCCACCCAAGTGCCCCACTGCTTAATCATTTTGAATATCAGCATAAGGGGAGTAACATGAACAGAAACCATAATGAATTCATTTAATGTTTGTTTTTACCTTTCTAATGCTTTTTTTCTTCTGCTCATTAGTTATAAGCTGTGGGGACCCAGGTACACTGGCCAATGGCATCCAGTTTGGGACGGATTTCACCTTCAATAAGACTGTAAGCTATCAGTGTGACCCTGGCTATCTCCTGGAACCTGTCACATCATCCACCATCCGTTGTACCAAAGACAGTACATGGAATAACAGCAAACCCACCTGCAAAGGTCTGTGTCATTACCTTTCTGGTCTTGCTGACACAGAAGCGTTTGTTGAATTCCATTTCACTGCATTTGCAAGCATTTATGATGTCCTCTATGTGCTAGGAATTCTCGTGACTCATTTGCAAATAAAATCACTGCCATTTTCTTAATACATTAATCTCAGCTTTACAGATGGGAAAACAGACTAGCAGAGTTAGTAAATGGCTCAGTGCACAAACCAAGATTGGGAGACATCAGCTCTCAAATGATGGGGTACAAGCTTTAAGTCTGTATTTTGAATCCCAGTGATGTCCTCTCTCTCGGTAAACATTGTTAACCCCAGATTTATTAAGGCTTAAGGCAGGTATGATGGGGAAGAATAATTATAGGACTTTAAACTCCACTTAGAGAAGCCAGTCATCAAATAATGGCCGACCATGTTGGTACCATGATGTTCTGTGGGATTCGGACACTGAGTCTGAAGATGCCCTACAAATATAGAGGCGGTAGAAAAGGTTTATGACTTGGGGGTTGGACTTTGCAGGGAGAGAAGGTCAGGTCAGGGAGACGCCAGTGGATGTGACTTGAACAATGTAACTGAGGGCTGGGCTTTGACAGTGAGAAAACAGTGGTGCTGGAGACAGTTGTCCAAAGACAGCGATCTGCATGGTTAGGGCTCCTCTGCCGGCACTGGAGAGAGCACGTGCCAGCTTCCTTATCAGCCGGGCCAGAGTGGGACAGGAGGGGCACAGGGAGACAAGTGGGGCTTGAGCGTGGCTGGCCCCAAACAAAAATGCAGTGCCTGGCTCTTTGTTGGACTAGGAACCCAGACAGTTCTGGGGGAGTTGTGAGTTGGACCCTGGCAACTGCTAGTGAGGAAGCGTTCATCTTCAGTGGGCTCTGAGAGGCAGATGGGTCTTGGGGCTTGCGTGGACAGAGCTCAGTGTGAGGCCTCCGTGAGAGCTGGGTGCTCAACCGCCTGGCTCCCTCTCCCTTCCGACATGGGCCTGTTGGTGGGCCACGTTTTCCCTCCTACCGGTGCGTAAGGATCGCAGAGGCTCCTGTCTTCCGCCAGCCATCATTAATGCTGTGTCTGTTGCAGGCGCTGGATAAACGTTTACTGAAAGTCACAGACTAGTGTCAGGAGCCATCTAGTCACATGACGTGCTCATGACAGCGACCAATAATTGCACTGGTCTCTGTGATGTCACATGCTTTTGTAGACTTTTGCTCCTCTTTTGAACAGCCAGTGCAGTTGGAAGGAACTCCGTGGGCAACCAGGCCCTTCCAGAAGAGACCACTCTCTCCCTCTGAATCTGTCTGGGGCTAGTCACCTCCTCACGTGATTCTGTGAAACCACGTCGCTCATTACTGTTCCCTCCTAGGGGACTTCTCACTTGATATCCCCTGTCTAGAGCACGTGTCCCCCCTACCCCCTCATGTGTGGACTCTCAAGAAATATTGGTTGAAAAAACTGAATAGATGAGAGATAACAGAGAGGCTCATTTCCAACTGCTGACTGTGCATGTGTGACTGTGTCTTCCGACGTGAGAATGCCTGAGTGTGAGCACGCAGAAGAAAATGCAGGTGAGAGTATACACCTGGGTCCCTTCTCTTGCTGCCTTCTGTCATTGGCAAGCCTCCTCCAGGGTGAAAAATCCAGAAAGCTCTTGGATCTTCCAAGAAGATTTGTCTATCGCAGTCCCCAGCCCCCTGCACTTCAGGGTAATGGCTAGGTTCTAAGGGGGCTACCTGGGGCCACGCCAACCACTCATCATCTGTGAGAACTGCGTCCCTGCTCGGGGGCCCCACCGTCAGCTCATGGCTGATATAATACATTGGGCAGTGGTGTTCCACAGAATCTTCTTAACCATGCAAGTGCTTGGTTTTTAATTATTCGGCAAATGGATCCACAGCCTATGTCTTTCACATATTATATCTTTATGTGTTAAAAAAACACAGAGCTTGCCAACTATATATATAAATCCAGAAGTCTGTACTCATGTCATATAAGCAAGCCCAGATTTGTTTTGTTGTTGAGAACCATCATGAAAAGACATACATTGAATACGAGTATTTCTTCCCTTCTTGGCCTTGTACGTATTGAGAATGTCATGTTCAATCCTGCTTTCTTCCACCGTGTGATATGTTGTGACTTTGCTGTGCTCTTATGTACTTGATCTAAATTAATGAAGAAATATTGGAGAAAAGTTTTATTATCTCAATGTGCTGTCTTCCTCAATAATTCTCGTATTAAAAGAAAACAACCCTATGTAGATGTCCTTTGTGATCCGGGTAGAATTAAAACGTGCATCCTGTGAGTGTTAGGGTCGTGGCGGATGCTCCGGATGTTCAGTCTCGTCTGTTCTTTGAAACAGCTGTCACGTGTGGCCAGCCTCCTCAAGTACAGCACGGGAAGGTGGAGGGAGCAGATTTCCACTGGGGGTCCAGCATCAGTTACAGCTGCGTGGACGGCTTCCAGCCCTCTCACTCCGCCATCCTCTCCTGCGAAGGCCGTGGGGTGTGGAAAGGGGAGGTGCCCCAGTGCCTACGTAAGTCCCCCAGTAATGCTTGTTCCTGGGTCACGTTGCACTGGACCATGAGGAGCACCCTCAGCTCCCGGTGTGAGGAGAACAGCGACGTGTCCTCTATAGCCATGCTACCATATGCAAACGTCCACGCTTGAGACCTCCCCGCTCAAATGCGCATTCTGCCCCTCGGTCATTTCCCAGTTTAATAGTTGTCCCCAAAGATTTCGCAGACACTAGTTACACGACCCAAGTGGGCTGACCCGATGCGGCGGCTCCTATTGTTGGCTGACTGCCTTGTTGTCTCCAACAGCTGTGTTCTGCGGAGACCCCGGCACCCCCGCGGAGGGGCGGCTCAGTGGCAAAAGCTTCACCTATAAATCTGAAGTCTTCTTCCAGTGCAAACCTCCCTTCATACTGGTGGGGTCCTCGAGAAGAACCTGCCAGGCCGACGGCACGTGGAGCGGCACCCAGCCCACCTGCATCGGTAGGAACGTTGGCAAGACCACCCCGAGGGTGTTCGGGGGTGGGGACCGGCACGCTAAAATGGGATCGTTTGTGGCTTCACAGATCCTGTGCCCACAGATGGTTCGTTGGGCAAGCCCTCATCGGCTACTCCGATTAAATCCTACAGATCAACTTTGGACCTGAATTTAGGTCTTGTTTCCCTGTCTGCACCTCAAGCGGCAGGAGCATTCTTTCAGGGAAAGACAGCTTTGTTGAAGACACTGTCATTGCCCTTCTCCAAAGCCACCATCACCGGGAAGACGGCCTGGCTGTTGTTTGGGCGTCGTCCCCTTGGTGCCAGTCTGTCTTCACTGGCCAGTCCCTACTGACCCACCCACACCAGCAGTGGTGGAAGGAGTCGGGCACGACGTCCTGGTGACCTTGGAATATGGCAACGAGACTTACAAGTCAGAAGACGCTTTCCATATGATTTAAGCCCTGCCTTTTTATGTTGCATTTCTGTCTCCTAGAAAGGATTCAGATACAAGCTGTATTTGTCAAAAGTCAAATTCTTAGTGGCAGAGAAACATTACCCTTTATTTCTGTTAAGAGCAATTTTCTTCATACCTCATGGCTGCAGATTCATGTTGATTGATGAGTTAATTTTTTCACCAGCTGTACTGAGCCAAGGAGTAGATGTTCTGCATCTTTGTAGTAAACAATTAATGATCTATAGTCATGGTTTCTAAGAAATTGACTGATTACTACTTAAACACAAAGAGCTTCAGGAATAATTTCCTTGAAGCACTGCCTTTTTTTTTATTAACAGACATGTTTACTGCCATTTCATTTAAACCGTTGCTACACGGTTCCTATCTCTATACTAAGAAATGGTTTTCTTCCTTCCAATAGGTTAGTTTCTCTTGAAAACAATTTGTTTTGTAAGTTAGGTAATTTTTTTCATACGAGCATCTAGAGAGCAGCAAATAATAAAGCTACACGCTCCTCATTGCTCAAGTCCTACATTTTTGGGGAGAGAAATGTCACTTTTGGTCTACCATATGCCTCAACTTTGAAGCACTAAATATATTTCCCATTTTGAAGTCTCGAGGAAAATTAACTCAAGAAATTTGCAATCACGTAATGGATGACTGAAAGAGATGACCACTAGTGAACTCCTTAAGAACCGAGGGATCATAATAATTATTGAAGACAGCATATTAGTGGACCAACCAGTATACTTTGTCTGACCAGAAAATGGAAAAGAGTGTTCATTCTGATACAGAAAATAATACACAGAGCAATTTAGAATCTGATAAAGAACTAAAGAGGAATACCTAAAGAAGTCTGAAAAGAAGATGAAAATAGCAATATACTTTGATTTTTAACTTTAATGCAAAACATCTTACATATCTGCCAAAATATAATTTTCTCAATTTTTTATACTTTGTCTATTTTTAGAGAGAGAGAGAGAGAGAGAGAGGGAGAGGGAGGGAATGAGCAGGGGTGGGGTGGAGAGAGAAGGAGAGAGGATCCCAAACAGACTCCGGGCTCAGCGCAGAGCCCTATGCGGGGCTCGATCTCGAGACCGTGAGATCATGACCTGACCCGAAATCCAGAGTCGGGCACTTAACCAACGGAGCCACCCAGACCCCCCCAGTTTTCTCAAATTTTTATGACCTTTGAGTAAAAATGTTAGAGTCCCTAGAGTAACCGTATCTGGCGCTCTTTGTTTTGTTTTGTTTTTATGTGCACTTCAGATCCAGCTCATAACAGCTGCCCAGACCCCGGCACTCCACACTTTGGAATACAGAATAGCTCCAGAGGATATGAGGTATTCCATTTTTATTTCACCCCGTTTCTATGTAAGTATAAAATGCAATTGACACTCGAACATGTGCGCATGGTTTCACGTACCCTGATTCATCGTATATTTGCGGAGATGCATTGATTCGGAGAGGATGCCCACGTGGTATTTTAACTGTCAAAATTGGGATAGCTGGATGCATCTTAATTCACACAGTAGCAATTGTCATATTGATTTCTACTTGAAAGTTTGCATGACGTGATGTTTTTTGTTCGCTGAACTGTCATGGCAGTTCTCCAGAGTGACTGGTCACTGAATAGCTACACGTAACAATACCCTGTTCAGTGACCCGATGCATCATGGGCAAATAATACTAGATTTTAGAGACAAAAACAGAAGAAAACGCATTCAGCCTCCTCAGCTAGTAGGCTTACTTTGTGATATTTCTTTTCCATGCCACCTCTGTGTATGAACTATTTGCATACTTGATATCACATTTGACGTTCGTTTGACTTTTTAAATAAAAAGTACATTAACACGTTAGGTAGTATTAGAGGAATAACCAAAACTGGGAGGTAATGAACCTTGAAATAAAATGTTTCCACCATCTTAAGTGATCAAGTGACTTCACAGCTCGATGATGAGATGGCTTTGAAAGCCACAGTTAAATATGTGTAGTGCATTCAAGTTAGAGAGCCCACTAATTTAGAATAAAAAGCCTTTTTTCTTCAGCCACTTCACTGAGGCTTTCCTGAAACCTAACATATTCTTTCTTGGTTGGCTCTAACACACCTTGGCTACTTCCTGATGGCATTCCTACACCCCCCAGAGGAACTTGTCGTAGGTACCTATGAGGCACAATCTGGCGTATTTTATGTTAGGTGTCAAATATGGCCCAATCCTCAGGGAAATGCTTACTGGCGTGTAGAAATGTCATGCCACATATACGGCAAGGCCTGCAAATACTATACTGAGTAATGCTCTCACTGACTCCCCACGGGTTCCTTATCTGCCCTCAAAGAGCCCACGTGAAGTCCACATTTAGTGACTACACTCAGCATCCTATCCCTGGGATCTATCTTAAGAAACTAATAGGAATGGATAAATTTCTCACTCCTCTGATGACAAAATCAAGTTACACTAACAAGAATGATAGGTTGGATCCAAAAGCAAGATTTGCTAATACTTTAAAGACACAGACGCCATCCTTTAAGGAGATGGCTAACCCTGTCAGAGGAATCGTCCCAAAATGTTTCTTGTTTCTTCTTTCGTTTTCATCAGGACACATTAAGTTGTGAATATAACAGAGTTTTGTTTTCTTCAGCACTGCATTCTGCAACGTGCTCACGCAGAGTAAGCCGCTTCGGTTTTAGAACATCCCTTGTCATGCTGTGTTCATTACGCAATTTAAATGCTGCCCTCCAGTCTCCGGCGGGCCACGTCCCGTCAATTCATAAACACCAGGTTAATTGACAGTGATCAATCTGGACTGGCCAGGCATCTTCTGCTAAAAGATACTCTATTGAGAAGGACACTGTCTTTTCCTCCGACCAGAACCTGATAGAGGCTCTCTTTTTTCTTCTTGCTAGTAAATAATGTCGCGTATTTGCCAGGAGGTCCGATTGGGGTCAGTGACATCCTGACAAGGAAATTCGATGGAGGGTATTCCTGATAGGTGATGGATTACTCTTTACCCATCTCTGCATCTCAAATCCGTTATTCCTTTGCAGTTTAGGTAAATTTGATTTTTTTTTTTCTGTATAAATTCCAATCTCTACTTTCAGGTGCCAGTGGTAAGGAACAGCTTGTTTATTTTTTATTTTTTTTCTGACACACTCATCACTATTCAGTGCAGCAACTATTGCCCCATGTTTTACTCATAGTTCTTCTCCCCAAAATCCCAATGAGGGAGACAGGGACTGACCCAAATGGGAAGACACATGTAGAGGAATTAAGGACCTGGTTTGAATCCTCTGAGCAAGAATCAGGGTGCACTCTTCACCTGTGCACTTACATGGCTTCATAATTTATGCCTTAGGAACCCACTTGGTCCCATTCCGAACCACAGGGTACGCGAAGCTGCCTTCCAGGTGTAGACCACCTTTCTGTGAGCGTACTTCTCTTCCGTTTTCTGTTCTCCCCAACCTGCATGTCCCGGATATAAGTGATCGGTGACCAGGAGAGATCATTGATTCCCTTCAACACATGACCATCACTGATCCTCAAAAAACATGTCTACAGACCACTGGGAACCTTCCCTTCAAGGCATTTCCAGTTAAGTTGGGGAAGTAGATAAACATACAGGTGCTTCTAGGACATTGCAGTAAGAAGCATATGATGCATCCTTGGAAGGTCAGGAAAGAATGTGCAGAAGTGAAAGTTAGCAAGATATCAACAACTAAGGCGGGGGGGAGGGGGGAGGGGAGGTTGTGAAGGTCTATTGGGAAGATACTTCAGGCATGCGGATGGCAATAAAGAGTCCAAGTATCTGCTGCTTCAGGAGGATAGACTGAGTTTCGAGAGATTCTACGATAGAGCAGGAGCTGGCCAATCCCCAGCAGTGTCAACAAAAGCAATTGGGTAAAGCCAACACCTTAAATAGGGATAGCAGGAAATAATGGAAAAGGGAAAGAAATTATTACAATCTGAAGATACAGAGGGCCAAAAGGAAAGAGAAAAAGCGTTCTTTCGTCACCCAAGTAAACTCCCTCTTAAATGACCACAGTTCTCTGTACCTGCCTGTATCCTCACCTCGTGCATTGAGCAACTCAGCCATAACATGCAGTTGAAACGTCCATGCTGGCTCAAACAATGGCCTGACATGGAAGAGAGATGTCACTCGCGTATCTTACCCTGGAATGAGCTTTCCGGCGTGATGACATTGTATCTCGCACGTCCGCTCCGCCTCTGAAGCCCATGTTGGATTTCCTCTCTAGGTTGGAAGCACCGTGTTTTTCAGGTGCAGAAAAGGTTACCACATCCAAGGTTCTACGACTCGGACTTGCCTGGCAAATTTAACTTGGAGTGGAATACAGACAGAATGTATACGTAAGTGTGATTTCTTCCACCGCAGCCAGCCACAGCCTATGTGTTCTCGAACCTCTGGGAGGCGTTTGCCCTCAAGGGAAATAATGAGGAATTGCCTGATTTTTGTTTGTTTGATCATTTCTAATTCCCTAGACCAGAATTTCTCAGAGTTTGATTCCCTAGAACTGGCAGCATCAGCGTCACCTGGGAGTTGGGTAGTGATTAAAATTCTCAAGCTGTGGCCCCAGACTTTGGGAATCAGAAACTCAGGGGCTGGAACCCCAGTGGGAGCAAAAAGGAGGGACAGCACGCTATCATCACCCAGCTCTGTGGGTGATACTGGGGCACGCTAAGGTCTGAGAACATGCCCTAAACCAAACACAAGTGAATGACATCGGTAACACTCACAGAAAGGAAACTTTCTTATCCATGCTATTATTCTTAAAAAAAAAATTTTTTTTCAACGTTTTTATTTATTTTTGGGACAGAGAGAGACAGAGCATGAACGGGGGAGGGGCAGAGAGAGAGGGAGACACAGAATCGGAAACAGGCTCCAGGCTCTGAGCCATCAGCCCAGAGCCTGACGCGGGGCTCGAACTCACGGACCGCGAGATCGTGACCTGGCTGAAGTCGGACGCTTAACCGACTGCGCCACCCAGGCGCCCCATATTATTCTTCTAGAATGTTTACATCAGATTATTAAAGAGAGGGTAAAATGGATCATGAAATATGTCATGATATTAATAGAAATATCTTAAATGTTATTTTTTTATTTTAGAGAAAGAGCGAGCAGGGGAGAGGGTGGTGGGGAGGGAGGGAGGGAGGGGGAGAGAGAGAGAGAGAGAGAGAGAGAATCTCAAGCAAGCTCCAAGCTCAGTGTGGAGCCTGAAATGGGTCTTGATCCCACAACCCTGGGATCATGACCTGAGCCCAAATCAAGAGTCGGACGCTCAACCGACTGAGCCACCCAGGCGCCCCTTAAACGTTATTTTTGAAGTCCATATGAATTTATCATTCAAATTGTTATGTAGGGTAACATTTTATTTTGTGACTTAATCATGAGAAATAGAAAAGATATTGTGGGAACGATTCATAAGTCAGTATTTCACCCTCTATCAGCTTAATGAAATAAAAAATTTTAATCTTACTGTGTTAAATAAGAGAATCAAAAAAAGTAGAAGGTCATGAAAAATTCTTTTAATGGTGTATAAAATGTGATTTTTGTGTATTTATCAGTATTATCAGATGTATATTTAATTCAAAGCTATCATCTGTAATACTCTAGTCAAATGATATATGTGGATATTATGTGTGCACAGATATGCATATATATGTGTATATATATTTGCATATAGACTTGTATGTCTGTGTATATGTACATATACAAACACGTGTGTGTTTGTGTCTGTGGATCTTGGAGCTTGCTAATATCAGGTATTCGTATGTTGAAAGTTTGCTGAAGCAGAAAATAGTATGATACTTAAAACAGTTGCATTCATAATTTTAATGTTGTCAACTTGTTTTATAATCATCTGTGAAGAAGTCCATTTCTTGAGACATACGTAAGAAGTTACTTGAGATTTAAACATTGCAATCTTACTTACTCCTAAATTGCATTTTAAGAGAAGTAAGAATCTGTAACATTGCACTCAGCTTTCTAAACATAAATCAAATTTTTACCAAAATTATTGAATTAACTCAATAACAGTCTTGTTAGCTGCCATCAGACAAAAATCAAGGCATATTTCTTTTTTGTGGGGCAGGCTGTGTGGCTCAGTTGGTTGAGCATCCAACTCTTGATTTGGGCTCAGGTCGTGATCCCAGGGTCGTGGGATCGAGCCCTGAGTAGGGGTCCATACAGAGTGTGGAACCTGCTTGGGATTCTCTCTTTCCCTTTGCTCATCCCCCTCTTGCACATGTGCACTCTCTCTTTCCCTCTCTCTCTTTCTCTCTCAATCTCTTTAAAATAAAAATTGAAGGGGTGCCTGGGTGGCTCAGTTGGTTAAGCATTCAACTCTTGACTTTACCTCAGACCCTGATCTCATGGTTCGTGGGTTCAAGCCCCGCATTGGGCTCTGCACAGTCCGTGCAGAGCCTGCTTGGGATTCTCTCTCGCTCCCTCTCTTTCTGCCTCTCTCCACCCATCTTGTCAGTCTCTTTCTCTCCCTCTCAAAATAAATAAACTTAAAAAAATTAAAATGAAATATAAATTTAAAAAAAAAGTGTATTTCTATACCTGTGCCGATCTGTGTTTGTTTAGCTTATAGGGATGGTCTTTTAAGGAAATGTGACATATCATTGATCTTAATAGTATATCAGAAGTGATCTATTTATTTCAGCGCTCTGATTTAGATTCTAAATTTCTACACGTAGTTAATTACACACACTTACTTATATGCAGACAGGGAGAGTGGGGGGGGGTAGGGAAGGAATGATAGGTAGGGAGAGCTGGCAAATCCCAAGTTTTCATGATGTTAAAAGTTTCAGGGAATATTGGGGACATTTCAAGATACCATACTCTCAATTTTAGGTTGCAACCTGACTTTGCAGCCACTTCCAAATTTTGCCGCAGTTCCTGATTTCTTTAGACTCTAACTCTATCTTATGCAAAGTGCCAGTGCTTCCTAACAGAACGCGTGCCGTTTCAGCCCACGCCTGCAGACAGCCAGAAACGCCAGCCCACGCGGACGTGAGAGCGATAGACCTCCCTACCTTCGGTTACACCTTGGTGTACACCTGCCATCCGGGGTTCTTCCTCGCGGCCGGGTCTGAGCACAGGACGTGTAAAGCAGATATGAGGTGGACGGGAAAATCACCGGTCTGTAAAAGTAAGTCGCTGAGGAGGGAGTGAACGCCCCTCCCTGCCGAGCCCCTAGCAGGAGCATCAACTGCCCATCGGGCTAGCTTCCGTCGTAAGATCCATAAGTAAACAGCATCATGGAAGTGATGTCGGTCACCCCAGCTGAATCTGTGCTTCATGTGGTGAGCTGTGTGTGTGAACGTGTGCGTAGTAAGTGTTTGGTACAACGGAGGCATAGTCTAAGTAGACATGTAGGTTTTACTATTTGCTAGTCACACTTGAAGCCACAGAGAAAAGCTGTCTGGTTCAAGAAAAACATCATGCGCTAAAAGGCCAATAATACACACCATATTTTTGGAAAATGTATTTTTTTTTTAATGAAAATGGGCAAATATCACCCAGGATTGGTGGATATATAAACGAAGCCGTTATTTTTAAGACCACAGGCTGTTTGGTGGTGGGATATACATCTGTGTATTCTTTACATTGGTTCAAATGACAAAAGCGATTGGCACGAAGGTGATGCATCAATTACCCACGTATTTGTGTACTTACAAATGAGAGCCCTAAGACAGGGTCAGATCTGATGACAGCTGAACTTTGAGATTCCCCACCAAACACAGATCACACACGCATCAAATACTACATGGCATAAACACTAAATATGGAGTGTAATAAAATCTGTGACTTTAGTTTTATTCTCTGGAAGCCTATTTATATTTCCAAATTAGGAATTCTTGTCTCCCTTGCCCTTCTCCATCAGATGCAGAAGAATGCGAACTTTAAAAACGTAATTTGTAGTTTGATGCAGACCTATAAATGCTAAGAGATTTTGAGTTAAATCCGACGTGATAGACCAAAGTAAACGTCCTGCAAGGGAAACAATTTGGTGTTATTCAATATCTGTCGATTTGTACTTCCATTGATTTGGGTGAGGACTTGGAAAGTCAAGAGAGGCTACGAAATCTTAGTTGTTCTGTATGCCACCTTTCACTGGTGGCTAGCATATCCCAAATAGGATCGAGAAAATGGATATCAACCACCCTCGTTTGCAAGGCTCTCTGTTGTAGCACACCACACAGACATGCACCTGTCACAGCTGCACTGGTTTTCACCATTAAGCTCCGGTTTTTTTTGACAAACACAAAGGATACTCTGCTGTGAATGTAGGGGTTTAAATGGATGTGTAGAAGACATTCCTATTTTGTACCTTCAAGCAATCTGGAGAAAGGAAAATTGCCTCAATTTGACATTTTTTCAAACTTATTCAAAAATAAGTGTTTTTGAAAATGATAATTTGTCTTTTTACTTGTAGGTAAAGGAGTGGGAGAAGTTAATGAGACAGTTACTAAAACTCCAGGTTTGTATTCCAGAACAGTCCTAGATCTCAACCACATAAGCGATTTGTTCTCTACTCTGTACAGGGAAACAGATTTTAACACGCAAACTTCCGACTCCACTAGACCATGAGCGGGTTAGCGATCCAGCCACCTAGCGCGCCGAGCCCACGCACATTTCTTTCTTTCCTGACGGTGGTTTGTTAACGGAATGACAACACTTTACTTAAGACGAGAACCTGCGGCACGATCACACACGGTTTCATTAAAAGGTGCCTCGGGCATTGTGTGGGCAGAAACGGACTCGAACTGTTGATCATAGGATGTGATATAATGGAGAGCCTTATAAAGAGGGTTGCGATTCTTTCCTCTAAACCGGAAGCTGATGTGAATGAGGCATTGGGACAACGTCAGCTGTTTCCTTGAGCCGATCGGATGTAGAGCTCCATTTTTCCCCCCGTATCTCCATAATCCAGGCATCCTCTGCCTCCCAATGTGTTAATTATTGCTTCTTGTTGTATGTGGTGCCTTGCTAGATGCATCACACAGAAAATCGAAAGATGCAGTCCTGTTTCCTAAGCGACATGCTTATTGCTCCAAATCCTCTGTGTTATAAAGTTAGAGACTCTTTTCATCATGCATTGTGTCCCCAACTTACAATGTAAGTCAACCTTTTTTTTTTTTAACAGATATAGAAAACTTGCGTACATATATAAGGTCATTTCCCTAGTAGTTTCCTTATTCGACTCTGAACACCGATCTTTTAGACAGGAAGGTCTGTCCTGACATCAGATGCGGAAACCGTATGTGTAACGCTCCTGTTGAGTCACAACGCTGTGTTAAAACACCGCAGTCTCAGCCGGGCCAACGTCCCGACACGATGAAAGGAATTTTTCCAACGTACGCCATGAAGTGTGAAAACTCCTTCTTAAAATCAGTATTCAAATGTTATTTACAAACCGAATACGGAAATCAATAGTCTTTATCCAGACAACATTGTCCTCAGTGAAAGGAAACACAATCTGTTGCTGTGATGGTGTGTTTGTTCTGTTTTTGTTTGCTTATTTTTTTGTTTCAGATATTGAGATACTTGCATACTTTATTTTGAAGGTGCTTCCATCCTCACCCGTCCACCTTTCCTCATTCCCTCCGAGGGGACTTGCTAATTGTGGTTGTCTGTCGAGGTAGCGCGTCGTAACAAATCTCCGCTTGCGGTTGTCGTGTCACGCTGCAAACCAGCAGCAACAGAGCAGATGAGAAGGCCCCCAGGGATCACCGTCACCACATTGCCGATGGCCATGTTGATACAAGCAAGCCAGCTCTGGGACGCTGGTTACACCTTCCTGCACCCAGTCAGGCATGACCCATTCCTCTGATACACCAACAAGAGCCACTCGTCAGTGACGGGCTGGAACCAATACATTCATAGCTTTAGCCGAGTGGGTACATTCTCACGTAGGGAAAACAACCCTGATAGGATTCTAAAGCCTGTTAATTTTAGTGAAGGAAAATACAGTCTTTTCAGGTTTGCCTGAAAACTGGGCCCCAAAATGGCCACTGATAGGCAGACGTGTTGAACGTCCCTTATCAATAAGCAGATGTGTGCTATGTCATGTTGGTATTGTAGTTTTTAACCTTTCCTAAACTTGTAAAAAGCACTATGATCGCAAGCTGAGTCTACGGAGAGCCACGGGAAGGGCCGACGCTTGCTCCTTCTTGGCTGCCTCCCTAGCTGGGCTCAGTTTCATAGGCACGGCCGAGCTGGCAAGACAGGACGATGGCCAGTTGCGCTGAAAGGGGCACATGAACGTAGATAGTCTATGTGTGTCCTAGAAATTGGTTCCAGCAAGTGGATTCGCTAAAAACCTTGATTTAGGGAGAAATGCATCTTTACGTACCTCCATGGCATTTGACATCGTTGCCTCTAACTTTCTTAGCAATCAGGGATGTTTTTCACAAGAATAGAAGAGCTTGGGTGGGTGGGTTGGGATCTCCTTGTGAGATAAAGACCTCCCGCCCCAGAGCACTTGTGTCTTTATGAGCTGGGTGAGCGCCCTTTACTGGCGCTTTGACGTGCAAGCTTTCCGAGGGCAGGCAGTTCCTGGTGGGTGATATGTGCCAGCTCTCTGAGCTTTCTGTGTCTTCCAAAGAGTTGACCTGGATGTTAATGAACAACCGGTCGTGGTTTCCCGGGTCAGTCTAACATCTTATTATCAGACACAATAACCTCACCTCATATCAGTCGCTCTGGTTCACCGCACCCTCTGGCCTTGGCAGCTCCGTTAAAAAAGGAACGTTTTGGCACCTAAAGTGTTTCTCCCACAAATCAACACACAGACGTGGGGGTGCATCTCACAGCAGTCTCCCTCCCCATTCCATTTCCATCGCATACATGCCGTAGAGGGCCTGGGATAGGTCATCTCTGTCCTCATCACCGTCATGATCTGTGATCTCTCACTCAACACGTATTATGCCTCTGTGTTGTAGAATATCTAAATTTAATTTTTCTGTGGGCGCTAACATTCCTCTGGTTTTTTTCCCCCCCACAGTTCCTTCAGATGTATTTTTTATCAATTCAGTGTGGAAGGGATATTATGAATATTTAGGGAAAAGACAACCTGCAACTCTAACAGTTGACTGGTTCAACGCAACAAGTAGTAAGGTGAACGCGACCTTCCTCGAAGCCTCGCAGGTGGAGCTGAAATTGACAGGTAGGCCCTGAGGAGTTTCATCTTCCTCAACGAAGAATGTGGGCCGAGGCAGACCCTTTATCTCCTCACAGAGGAGGGAGCTACCATTTATTAAATGCTCATTAAAATTACATTGGCTTTGCATAAGCTGTGTCTCATGGGATCCTCTCGATAGCCATGGTAGGTTGGTATTCTCATTTTTAAAGATTACAGAACCAGCCCAGAAAAGCTAATTAATGTGCTTGCGATTATGCATGTGACATACTAAGTCAAAGATGTAAGATTTATATCCAGAGCTACATGTCTCCAAACTTCATTGTGTCAGTATCCTTGTTTTCAACTCATGGTCCTCGTGAGATTTATTTGTCATCCTGCTGTTAAAATAAAAGCAGCTCTAATTTATATGCCAGACCCCATTTTATGTACTTAACATATATTATCTTCCTCATTCTTACGTCTGTCCTATGATATGAGCATCTTTATCAGACACATTCTTTACTGATGATAAAAGAGAGAAAGAGAGAGAGAGAAAGAAAGACCCAGAAAAATGAAGTGTCTTTGCTAAGGTGCTTTGGTAGAGGTAGAATTTGAACTCAGAAATCAGGATTTCAGCACTTGGAACCTCCAGTCCACACTCTTAATAAGGGTATCGCCTTTCTGACTATATAATGTCTTTTAAAATCTTCTCATTTATTTCACTTCTCACAGCTATGTATCCTTGTCTATAGACCAACTCCATGAGGGTAGGGATTTTCTCAGCTATTCTCAAGGCCCAGCCCTGGGCCTGGATACCAAGGGGCCCCGAATGGCACCTGCTCTTTCTCCAGCCACTGGAAAGTATGATGGCGGCTCAAGATCCCCCCCCTTCCTCACATTCCCCTTTCCTGCTTCCTGGAAGTGGAAAACGTCCCAATATACATACTGTGGATTGAGGAAAAGCGAAATCATTTCAACTCCGAGAGGCTTAGCAGGCACCTATCTGTGAGCCCACGGTCTCGCAGCCACACGCGACTTCCTACGTTGAACCTATAACTGGAAAAGTGATTAGGCAACGTGCCCAAAGGTACCCGTCATCAAAATCCACCCAGGAACTTTTTTAAATGTCCAGATCCCTCAGTCTTCCCCAGCTGCCTGGCTTAATCTTTCTCCTGGTAGAGTTTGGATTTATTCCTTTCTCAAAGAAGGTGGCTCCCTGAAGAGGGAGGGAGGAAGAAGGCAGAGCGTGCAGAGCCAGCCGCGGCCACACTGAGGCCCTGTGGGGGTGGCTGTTTGCCACATGAGACCGTATTTCATTACGTCTCCCTAGAGCGTGTAGCCCTGGGCTTCAGAGTTTTAGAGGTTGGATGTAATGCCAACAACACGGAGCTGCTGAGGGCGGGAGGAAGACCAGCCCAGAAGGCCTGGGGCAGTCCCTCTTGTCAGCTGGGCCCCACTGGTTCCCCTCCACCCCGTGTGCCCACCAGCGGAGACCGGGTCCTGGGACAGTAGAGATTAGCTTCTCTAGTTAGTTAGCAGTTAGTGTGAATTAGTAGCTCACGGCCGCATTTTCTGGAACGGGCAGCAGCATCTTCCTTTGACCCCGTGTTCTCGGCACGGAGGACATTTTGGTTTTAGGTTATTATTCATTTAGTACTTGTTTGTTTACTTATTTACCTACTTCCTCCATGGGGTGGGGAGCGAGCTCTGGCTGTCAGCACAGTCCCCGCCTGCGCCTCGCCACGTCACCTCATCTCTGGGCCGTACTGTTAAGTGTCATTCTCGCCGCCTCATGAGAGGTGTAACTGTGCGGTCTGTCCTGCCCAGAACCGCACCGGCTACTCAGGGATGCTCGGCACGTTCCGCTCGCCGTGCTGTTCACTCTGTCTTTAGAAGGAGCCATATTTAGGGGCACCTGGGTTTCAGTCAGTCGAGCATCCGACTTCGGCTCAGGTCATGTTCTCCCGGTTCTTGAGTTCGGGCCCCGCGTCGGGCTCTGTGCTGACAGC